TCAGTGCTCGGGCCCTAATAAATTACCAAATACTTAAGTCTCAGGATGCAGGTCCCTGAAAAAGTTTTATAGCACATTATTTTGAATTATTTATTACATTGTTAAGGGTTCAAAGGAGGACAGATAAGTGAACAGGCAGCTCAGTTGATGGGTGTGGGAAATTTGGTCAGAGCGGACACCTCCTCCACCAGTAACTGCCCATTGAGAACAATTAGCCAACAACCATAATTAGCCTCAATAGCAATTATTAGCACAGGCCGTATGCGTGCACACACCTTCAAAAACCCAGCAGTCTCCAAAAAAAAACCCCAGACTTTTACAATATCTATAGTTTCTGCTCCATCACTGCCTTGCCTGTGTCCCTGAGGGAGAGACAACTGCTTCACAGCCCTGGGCACGGCACACTGCTTTACTGCAGGCAGCCTCGCTGCTCTGAGCCCGGGGTGATGTGACTGCATCATTTATTCAACAACAGTAAACACAGAAAAGGCTCTGAATGATTTACCCCTCGGTTTACATGAGCTCAAAATTCATATGTTTTTGTGCATTTCTCAATTTTTCACATGTTAGATAGCAGAGTTAATTTTCTGTAAACCTGCACTACTATCCCAGTGTGTTTAATGTTATATACAAGAACGATCCATGTGCTGGTTGATGTTCAACCATCCATAAAGTGAGGCTAATACACAGATGGTTGCTGTACTTTATTTTACCTTGTCTTAATTGCAGAAATACATATTTTATAGGAGTGTGTCAGCTGTGGTCTTACACACAGTTTGTGATGCATATAATTTGGATTAAATTTATGACAGCATTGAAGATTTTAAAACAGTAAATCCTTCAATTATAATTAGAGATCAAATACTATGTTCTGGTTGGTTAAGACACTGTCCAATACTTTAGACTTACTCATGTGTTTATGAAATACAGAAATATGAAGGTCAATATATATTAACTGTCTGTCTGTAACGTGAACAGAATTAGCTGAAGAAGACTTTACAATCTCTGCAATCTCTGTGTGGGGAAATCTGCTGGAAGATTTGAAACTTCACTAACTAGTTTCTCTCCATTAGTTCAAAGCTTCAGCTGGGAGATGAATCCTTTGGGATATTGGAAGCTTTGAATTAGCTGTTGTCGTCTCGCTTCCAGATGATGCTGCTTCTCTGATCTGCTCTGTCTCTCTGCCTTACTCTCAGTCTCACCCTCTCTCTCTGTCTACATTACTGACATTTTTTTATGGCTGCGGCTTTGTGCTGCATTTCAGTGTAATATAAATACAGTGAAATGCAAAAGATTCTGTTACATATCTGATATAGATATGAATGTATTATACTGTATCCTGTAGTACTCACCAGCCTGCTCCAGAGCCATCATAGTGGACTGCTCTATCAGATCTCTCTCTATGAAACTCCTGAAATCCTCGCTGTACACGCTGAGGTCCGGTAGCTGGAATGTGTAGATGGGCATCTCAAGAGGGAACTGCTCGCTGGTACACTCACTGGCCACCTGCAGCCGCGCCAGGGAGACGATAGCAGAGCTGGCGTGGGAGATCCCACGGGACAGACGCTTCTCTAAAAGGGGACAAGAAGGGAGGTTTGAATGGATGACTGGGAAGGGAGCGAATAAAAGAGAAAACTACTGAGGTGATAAAATGGTGATGAGGTGGCCCCTCGTACCTTGTGCATTGTCCTCCTGCTTCTGTGCGCACGGCCTGTCGATCTTGCTGACATGGGTGGGCGTGTCACGTGTCTCTGGCTGCTTGTAGTAGCGGCCCTCGTTGAAGACCTGCGGCAGGTTGGCAGTGTGGACCTGCCTGAGCTCCTCATAATCATTTAGAGCAGCACTGAGGTCCCAGTTTTTACCTGTGGGGCATAAACAAAGATAACAGATCGATTTTGAATACCAACCCTTGAAAAAATGCAGAATTTCTTGAACATTTGCAGTTTACCAAATATTCCCACACATCAAAAACTTGTTTTTCTGGTGCAACAGGAGTCTGTTAACTGCAGTTTACAATAAACAGGGTTATCTCATGGTGAATAACTCATGATATGCTACCAATAGCAGAAAGAGACAAGGGCACTGATACAAGTATGCTGCAGACTCCCCACGAGTAACTGAAAAAAATCACTGCACTTTGCACACTTCTTTTTTAGATTACTGTCTTATTTAATATTTGAAACAAGTACAGATAAATTCACATATCTTTCAAACGTTTTAAATAATGCACCCCAAACATATTATATATATAGCCCATAATGCCATACAGAGCTTTTGTCTGAGTAAAACATGCTTCATCATAAGGAGAATAACTAGACATTGAGGTTGGGTGGTGCCACAATAATGACAATAGTGACAGGAGACAGATCCTTTAACAGAGTGACAGCAATATCCTGATGTGCAGGAGGGACCCTCACACTGGTAACACATGCACGCAATGAACACACACACACACACACACACACACACACACACACTTGTCTCCTCTGGGTGTTGTCTCTAACACAGATCCCTTCCCAGGTTGAAGAGACACAAGTCAAGCCCTCAGCTTATTATAAACCTCAAGCAGCGCTCCTCAATGATGCCACAGGGAACTATCTGCAAAACCCATCTTTATAAAACTCATGAACATGAATACCTTACACTGAAAACATTCGAGGCACCTGCATGTAATCTGAGCATGTTTGTGAAGACCACGCAGTCCATTAATGGACCCTGTGTAAGAGACCCGCAGGAAGTTGTCCTCTCTCCTCCCGACTTCCAGACATGATGATTCTCGGCAGTCTGAACATGAAACCTGGCACCGCTAATCGCTGTCTCTCACGCCAATCAATGCAAAACTGATTTAACTCTATGGATCTCAACAGCTTCAGCTGCACAAATCCAGGAATACAACTCAAGGTCCAGCAACATAGCTACTCTGCACCTAATGCATGGTCTTTAAATGCCTCTACATTACCCTACCCACTAATACTGTGGCTTGGAAGAAGTTGCTTCAGCTCCTTCATTTGTAATGGCTGTCGTCAGCAAAAGGAATACTGATAAATTCATCTGCAGTATGAACATGCATTATCTCATCTGTTAGACACACAGCAGCTTCACTGAATGTTTTATTCCTGATTACAAAACTCTGAATTAAACCAGTTGCATAGGAGGACTTTCAATATAGGTGCACAGCATATAGATTTTTAAGAGCAAGCTTTACCAACTAAGCTAATCTAAATGACTTTTTAATTAAACAAATCATCAAAATTATATTAACCTTTTTTACTTTCAAGAGAAAATGTAAAACCCTCACCCAAGAGCTCGTCCTGGCTCTCAATAAATTTGACCACAAAGGTCAAAACACATTCTTCAGTACACAAACCAGCCTCTAGGGGGAAGCACTGCATGTGGCACTGTCACATTTCTCTGTCTGCCTGTCTGTCTCTCTGCCTGCTCCTCACACCATCCTGACTCAGACCAGAGGGTCACAGAGCAGCTGATTGATGCAGGTCTTGAAAGCTAAGCTAACACCAGCAAGAGGGCAGCAGGCAGGAAATAGGACATCCATGCTGTCTGAGTGCAGTGTCTTGTTTGGTGCCTGTTAGTGTCACAAGTATGCCGCTGTGGCTCTGTGCCAAAGCAGAATCAGAAAAAAAAGAAATGACTGAGGGGGAGGGAAAGACAGACACCCAACACTTTAATTCTTTTATCAGACTAGACACCAGCTGCATAATATACACACAAAGACAAAAAAAAAAAGTTCTAGGACACACACGTACCGCACACACTCTACAAGGATTTTATCCCCTAATGGAAGTCTGATTAATGTGGAGCATGCTTTTATTCCAGTAAAGTAGACAAAACTGTATATGTATTTAGAGTTCAGCATTTCTTTGCTGCAGTTTGACCAGATCTCGGAACGCAATACGAGACTAGAATGGCGACATGCTTGGAAAAAACACAAACATCACTTTTACTGTCTCTAGATATTGCTGCCAATTCAGCTGACCATCAACCAGCTTTCTGTTGTTGTGTGCACTTTTGCTCTCCGGTTTTGTTTTGTTTTTCCGAGCGGCACTGTATGTAAGCTATACAAGTGCCAGTAGCACTCTGCTCCTCAATGAGTTCCAATGAATGGGCACAAAGCTCTCCCAGGGGAGTGCACTCGTAAAACCGTCACACTGGCCTCTAAATCAGCAAGCTGGCTCACTGTTGCAAGCCCCAACTCCTCTCCTCCCCTCCTTTGTTTCCTTTCTTTTTTCTTTCCCCCTCATTTCCTCTCCTCTTCTGTTCTTTCCTCTCCTCCGCTCGCCTGAGTGCAACTGCGGGGAGCAGCGGATCAAAAACAGAACATTCTCAATATAGAGTCCTCTAATCAAATTTTTTGGTTGAGAGCCTGCAAGACAGTGTTGGTCTCTTACCTTCCAGCAGGTCTCTTGCCAGACCCGGTTCTGCCCCAGTGGACCGAACAAAGTCTGACAGGACCGCGTCCATGTCCAGAGTCATGTGATCATGTGTGTGCGCTGCCCAAGGTGCAGCGGTGGCCTTGGTGGACGCCAGCCTTCACGTTCTCATCTGGAAACAGCAACGGGAAACACAGCAGGCCTTAAACACACCGTTTTATAGTAGATCCATTTCAGCCACACTTGTAAAAACCCATCACTCACTAACCCCTGTGAGAAAACAGTCATTCGTCTCATTTTAATCCCAGCCAGTAGTCTCAGCCCGCTTGTACTGATGTATAATGCTTCATGGAGCTGATAGTTCATAGTACTGTGAATAGCACTCCACTCCCAGTGCTCCTCCCAGCTCTTGCTAGCAGTCATAACATAATATATCCAGCAGCACAGATGTAATATCAACAAGTGTCAACCAGGGTTTTTTCTGGGCATGATCCAGTATCTTAACCCTCAGTACTCTGAGCTGGACAGCATGGAAGGATGACTGGCGACTGTTTTTGGAGCCGGGTGATTCAGTGTGATGTTATTTAGTATGATCCTAGCTGGAGAACACGGCTGTATAGCACTGGGGCTCTAATGATCAACAAATATTGCCTTGTTAGGTCATAAGCAACCCTTTTAAGATGCACACGCATTCACTCCCTCGGCCCATGGAATGAATGAGTCCATGCATAGCCTTCATTCCACTTGAGGCCGTGTGGGTGACAGAGCATTGTCAGTGAAGAAACACACACCCACAGGTTTGCAGCTATGACACTAGGCCCTCTGTGTCCGGAGGTTTGACGGCTGCTCAGGTCTGCGGCTCTGACCTAAAGAGGAGTGAGAGAGCATGCTGGAGACATTCAGATAATCTGCCAACGCCTCTGAGCTCCAACTCTCAGTGTGCCACATGACATGACTGTCCATCAGGTTTTAACTCAGCCACCAATGTACTGTGATGTGATGTAATGTGAACCAGCAGACACTAAATAGAGCCGACGCGAAGCAAATGCTGTTGTTTCCTGCTTCTGAGGAAAGTTAGTGAATTACTTTGACAGCCGACTGAACAGGACATTGTGGCATATTTTTTTACTAACCATGATAGAACAACATCAGAAACGTCCTCTCAGTCGGTGTTACCATCACATGAAATTTAAAGGCTCATGACAAAACCAAGACGGCTAAGCAGTGCTTGATTGCTGGCATTAGAGAGAAAAATATCTTTGCTCAAGACCAGGCAACTTTATCATATTCATTATTAATGAGTCAAAGCTGCACTTAAGCTGTAGTTTAGCTGACCTAGTTACTGTCAGCCATTTGCATTGTGTGGCATTGTTGTACTGAATGCAAGCACATGTAAGCCCCAGGAAACACAGGGTGATCAGATCATGAGTGATAAATACTGTTATATATTGTTATCAGATAAAAGATGACCTAAAATGTATCACAGTTTTCTCTATTCTCTCTATTGGTGCTTCTTTTTTAGACTTCAACTTAAATGTCCGTTTATAATAAAGACAAGCTTACTTATTTCAGTTGGGTCCTTCACACCCTTACAGGAAATTCAAAAGGCTCAAAAGTCAGTCTGTGAGATATTTGCCTTCTCTGAAGACCGAAGAGACGACATATGTGCACATAATTACACTCTCTAGGGGTGGTCCCTTAACTCAGGGCAGAATAATAAGCTTCCCATCAACTCAGAATCACAATATTGCTTTGAAGGGCAAAAAGCCTTGAGTCTAGTAGTGTGGAGCAAAACACAAAAATAGCTGTACATTATAAGTCATGACCTCATATTTTCCCTTAAGAACACCCCTATTCAGCCCACTTTCCCCGTGGGAGGTAATTATGACTCAGAAACACCCTAATGTTTTTCTCTCTGACGTAAAACCATGTGGAACCTGGGACATCTTCCTGTTAATCATTATGACAATTTACACACATAATGTATCATCCTTCTATAAAATAAGTGGGCACTGTGAGGCATGGTGAACAAGAAAAATATCTATTTTAAAGAATAAGGGATGTCTATATTTTTCTTATTTTCAACAAATACCATGAAAAGACCAGAACCAACAATCTTACAGCTCAATACTATATAGTTTCAATTTCAAGAAGTACATAAGTAGTAAGTACATTTACTCAAGTACAGATACTACGGGTGACTTTGCTGATTGAGATTTTACGAATTACTACCCAACAGTATATAATGTAATGCTTTCAGTGCATCCTTTTGGACCCTCACTGACACTGACTCCTAAACCCACCCTGAATATATGCATTACATTAATGCCCTTTGCACGTTGGTTTTTTAATCTGGCACATTGCAAATATCATTATATGTCATGCTCCCCGGTTTTGCACATTTCTGTAAAGCTCTTTACTCATTTATTTAAGTATCCATCCATTTTGTACATATTCTCTCTCTCTTTATATTTGTATATAGTGGCTCCTTTTTATTGTCTATTATCTTTATATTTTTCTATGCTTGATTCTGATTCTTATGCACCACTGTAGCAAGGCAGAAAAACTTACTTAGCAATAAACCTGATTCTGATTCTGATACTTTTGTACTTTGACTTTTTGCACTGTTGTATTGCTTCAGCTAAGGATCTGAGTACTGACCAGGAAAGTGTACAATATTTGGCATTGACTCAAAATAAACTACAGTTCCCTGTTCCATCATAATGAAGGATCCCAGGGCAAGAAGTGTGGCTCATTTATGTGTTTTTAATAGTTTAATAAACAACCAAGGTCGTTGAAACAACAGCAATACTTGATAATATGATCGATTCATTGTTGGTTTTGGTCTTTTCGTAGGATTTGATGATAATAAGGTAAATACAAAATACCCGCAGCCTCATCCTTTTAATGTTATTCAGCAGCTGTCGGTGATAATGTAGATGATTGCAACTCTGCATTCTTCTGTTAGTTATCGCACATACTTTCTGTATTTTTGCTGAGGGTTGTTGAGAAGCCATCTGATGACCACGGGACTGTCAGGACCAGATGTAGCTCTAGTCCATGGCTTCAGAGGCAGTAGAAGAGAGGAAGACACCGGGGATGCAGAGAACCCTGAAAGACACGCACACAAATATTGAAAGTTATCATCCTGAAACAGAAAGTTATGGCCCTTAGTTCAGATTGACTGAGTTCGATTTGAAGCTACTGTAAAACACCCAACCGAGTGTTAATATGCAAATCTAAAATTACCCCTCAAGCCATTACTTTCATCATGTGTCATTTAGAAACCACTGTGTATACTGACTGTTCATCACACTGCCTGAGAGCATTTCTCTTGAACAATCAACATTTAATTACTGATTGAAAATCTAATTTTTCTTATTATTTTCCTTTTTGCTAAAATGTGTTTTATGAAATTACTTAATTACCTAATGTCACGCGTGGGTACTTTTAGAACAGCAGAGGGTTTAATCTGCATTGTGATGTTTGTAACTACACCTGTCAGCTGTTGTAAGATCCCCTATAAAGCAGCTTTAGCACTTAAAAGCAGACCCCAGCTTCTGAAGGTCCTTTGACGTAATCACATTTTCAGGTTCTCACACTAAAATGCAGGTGTGTATGTGACACTAACAAAGACACTAAAGGTAAAGAAAGTGCAGCGCTAGCCTCACGATCTATGCTTTTACGTAACGAAACACAAACATGCTGATGCCGGTAAAGGCAGAGAAGGTTGATCCTGCATGACGCAGCAGGCAGAGATGCGATTATGTGGCGCGTGGAGGTAAACACACATGGAAACAGTGAGCGAAGAGCGTGAGGGCAGACACACACAGAGCATATTCTACCATTGTCCCCGGTGAATCACACCAGTTTGCGTCTCTCCACACTTTCAGAAAGAACACTGGCAAGTGCTGAGGAGTTAGCGTCAAAGACCTCCTAAGTGTGACTGAAATATCCTTCAGTGTCATGCATAATTCACATGGACAGTAAAAAAAAAGAAAGGTTCAGATACTGTATGTGTCCTCTGCTATTTGTACACTCCATCACAGCAACTTTAACCACGGCACTCTGTGTTACCTTTGAAATCAGAGTAATTCCTCACTTGAAATGGCAGTATGTAATGTAAACTGTATTGTTTAAAGTTTAAAAAAGTGGATGCTGATACAGAGTTTGAACTATAAAGTCACAGATTGGTTGTCGATATTACTTGGCCTGAACTACTGAACTATTACTACTTCAACCATGGCTGCTAGGCTGACAGGAAGTACAAGAATATCCCACTCAAGCAGAAGTTACTTGACTAACACTTTCAAGTCAAGTAAAATTGAGATAGCTCGAATAATAATTAATCAGAAGTCCTAAAATAGAAAGCTTGTCTGGGTAACAGTCTGTATGAAAGGCCAAAGGAGGATCATGACCAAAATTTCAATATAAGTGCGCACTACTGACCAAATTACCAATCCAATTCAGTGACCTCCAAAGTGGTGACCATGTTTACTTGATTTTTTGTGAATGGGGGAGAGGTTTAAGTGTTTGGGATCAGACAGCCAACTTTATAATTAATGGACAAAACACTCCTACCACCTGAGCTACTGCTGCTCTCTGTATGAACTCATAATAACTGTTACTTTATACTTTTACGTCACAACATTTCAGAGGGGGAACTTACTTTTACTCCACTACATTTATCCAATAGCTTTAGTTATGAGTTACTTTTCAGATTCGGATTTCATATGTAAAACATGATCTGCTTTCAAAATATGTAGCACTGTTATAGAGTAAACTAATATTTATCCAGTAATATAACACTACCTCAGTAAATTTACTTAAGTGAAGTTTTTAATACAAGACTATTACTTAATGAAGTATTTTTATACTGCATTCTTGCTACTATTACCTACGTAAATGGTCTGAACACTTCCATCACTGAACTCTTTCATTTACAAAGTACTTAACTTACAGAAATCTACGAGTGAATGTAGAATAAAACATTTTAGAGTTTATCAAAACGCACTAAAAATGCTACTCGCAACAGTGAGAGTACACTGTATGTCTTCACACCTGGTGATTAGTCAAAGCGTGTATGCTGTTATATTTGGGTTAGAGGTTCAAGCCAGGCTGCATCTTTGATCTTGTGGTCTCAATACAAACATTTAAGTCTCAGACCACGGGGGGAAACGTGCGGCTTTGTAATAAGCTACTGCCTCATTTTCCCCGAAACTCTTGCTCTCTTACCTCTTATCTTCTTCTTATTTCACTGAGTAGCAGACATACCTCTCACAGAACAGAGTTAAGTTGTGTATTCTCCTACTGTATTCACAACAGCGCTCACACAAACTGCATTGTTTGCCTCCTATGGTCCACTGACCCTTGCGCACTCTGCTCGCAGTCCCTCCATTTTTACAAGGGCCCGTTTGTAGACGGTAAAAAACGGAGAAACAGGAGGTTTCTTAATCATCAACAGTGGAGTACGGTCCACTGAACTCTCCTCCAGCATCACTCTACACTCCACAGACATCGCAGTTATACAGTATCCAAGAACCTTAAATTATTTGTAAATCCATTTCCATCAGCTGTAGCCGCTAGCATCAGATATGACATAAATGAAACATATGCAAGCTCAAATAATTATTTTCACAAATAACAGCCACAATTTAGATGCAAGAAAAAACATTGTGCTGAACCGACTATTATAAATGAGCCACCCCGAGAGCTGTCGGATCTACCCCGCTGTGAGACGCGCGTTGCTGATGTTTTGTAATTTAAGAACCAAAATACAACCCGCTTTTTTTATCAAATGACATTTAAAATGCAATGTAGTGTACTGTGTCATGTGTAACAACTACTTAACAACTATTAGCACTTTACTAAATCACTCTTTATCAGCTGTCAATATAAGTACACTTTACACCAGACAATACACCTACCTGTGTGAAATCTTCAGCTGAGGGGTGTGAGAATGTAATTAACCTCTCTCAGAGGAGGAATACAGTGTCTCTCGTTAACTTGTGAAAAACAAAGAAATAAAAGCTTGCAAACAGCTGTTTTCAACTATACCTAAAAAATAACTGAATGGAACAATCCCCCTGCAATATTCATACAACCACTGTAGAACAGCGCCACACCCACTATTTCCTTTTTTACGTTTAACACTATTTGAAGTTTCACTACTTTAAACCACCAGTAAACCAGTTGGCTGATTAGAAAAGTGTGAAATGGCTCGATGAAAACTTGCAATCTGGTAATACTTCAGAGTGCAATAGAGACAATCACAGGGAAAATGATGAGTGGTTTCCCATTGACAGAAGCTGACTTGCCATTGAATGCAGATTTTGTTTTCCACGAAGGTCCATCTTCCCATGATGCACATGTAAAGTGTATGTATACACACATAGCCGTTTTACAGTAATAGGATGCGTTATAGCTGAGATAATTGTCTCCATAGTGAGCAGTGATCGCCCACATGCAAGGCAGATACACAGCAGGTGGGAGGTGAACATACTGTACAAACACTTATACGCTACTCTTTGCACTACATCTCCTCTGTAATGGGAAAATGGTCAGGCAGCAAATCCTATACATGCACACCAAGGTTAACAGCAGTGTATACATTCGCAGTTAAGCTCTTAAATGTGCTTTTAAAAGGCAGCCTATACTTTGATTTTCATTTTTATATATTGCAAATGTGAATTTATGTAAATGTCAGAGAACACTTGAGTGCACCAAGTGGCCTGCATGCGAGAGCATAAATTACTGATGCTGTTAAGGAAAAACCCACCCTTTAAACAATGTTAGGTATCATTCATTTAAGTTCAATGTATTCCAAGAGCATTAATGTCCACAACTCCCCAAAAAACTGCTTCTAAAAGAGAACCATACAGGCAACAATATGCTGTGCAGATAGGGAAAGTAATAATAGAAACCCCTCACAATACACACAAGACACTGTTCTGATAGAGGCTACTGTCAATGGAGAAATTAATATCTTTGGTATTTAGAATTTTTATGATTTTTTTTCTGTACGACTGTTGCAAGTTTGTGTAAAAAAATCTAGAATTTAAAATAAATAGTGGAAATAACTTAAGGCACATTTACACTTAACAAAAAAGGCCCAGTAATACAAAATATTTCACTGACCAATATTTAGGATCAGTGGCTGTAGTGCTTCCCCGCCCCCAAACTCTGTAGTCTTACTAGTGGAGTAATCCTTGTATAAAATCTCAGAGGACAAAGGTCTGGTTCACTGTGGTTAATCTGGTAAATAGCCAATCAGGAGACATTGTAGCTCAAAGAAAACTGAAACATAAAAAAGTTAACTTCTGTAACTTAAGTTAACCTAATTTACACATCAAACAAAATGGACAATAAGTCCTGTCATGAAGAAGATGTCACATCATCAGAGGAGAGGAGGCCTAGCAGCTAAAGGGGTTCTCCAGAGTTCAGATATACTGTATCTCGCAACTTGAAGACATCACCTACAGCACTAGTAATAGGCATAGATAAATATAGAAATAAATACATCTATAAATAATTATACTTATATTCTTAGGATATGATATTAAACATATATATATACACACAGTATGTATTGTTGACTTGAACACATCAATTTGTCAATTTGTCAGCTTGTAGTTGTACATAAAAATGACCACAAAATGTGGAAAGAAAAAAACACAATATCAAATAACATTTATGAATGAGACACTAAATCAGAGTATCCCATTTAATGCATCCTTCCAGCTCAGCTTCCCAGTATAGTAGGTGGCACTAGTCCAGAGAGTCAAAAGGACTTTTGAAACCTGAAACCTCAGCCTGATTTACAAAATAGTGGCAAGAGACCTGTCCAACAAGGGTAGGACATACGATGTGGGATTGTTGGTCAAACACAAATTAAGTTACTTAAACCTCATAGAGTCTGATCCCTCCTCTGCTGGACAGAATATGGATCCTTCGAGGCTGGCAGAGAATAAAATCTTACATTCTGGCTCAGACAAACAGCTCCGCTGGGCCAACTGTGGCTTCATCACCAGCATGTGAGCTGAGCTGCAGTTACTAGGGCCCAGCACCAACAGGCTCAAACTGCTGTGCTCAACACTGCTAGATAACCACCC